TAACTTGCTGAGTAATTAGCTAATAGAATATTTTGAGTTATGGTTTCTTGTTACAGTGTGTATTCCCAATTGAAAAGGTGTTAATTTTGAATGATGTACATGTACATTCTGTTAAATGTTTATACTGATTTATATTGCCATACTTGGATAGTGCAGTACACAATGCTGAATTGTGTTCTATAATTAATTGGGGTTGTATTCTTTGCATGAATGATGTTATGCATATTCCCGTATTTAGGTAATAAAATTAGGTAGTATCTTTTGCAATTCTTGTTTCTAATAAGCTCTTTAGACACTTAAAGGACAATATTGGTGTCAGTCATTATCACATATATATGATATAGAACTGGTTAAACACGTTCCAAATATAATTTTAACAAATAAATAGATCATTGCTACGATAGAGGCGTTATCATGATTTCAAAAAATCGTAGTGACAAACTCAAAAGGAAAACAAGAGTTATCCTTCTATATAACTGACTGAAGTGATGAGTGATTAACAGATACATGGGCAAATATCTGCTCACTGATAATTCCTTCGAAGACAAAACGTTGGTATATGAGACTAGGAGGACATCTGACAATTCAAAAAAATAATTGACTGTCAATTTTTATACGCCCACATTGAAATGTGGTCGTATATTGTTGTCGCCCCGTGCGGCGGTCCGGCGTCCACAATTGCTTGTGGACGCTCTAGAGGTCAAAGTTAATATCCAATTGACTTTAAATTTATACACATTGTGTGAGGTCATAAGACGAAGAATCATATTGATTTTCAGCGATTTTCGATAATTATTGCCAGAGTTATGGCCCTTGATCACTTCAAAAAATCTTGTAAATGCTCTAGAGGCTAACGTTAATATATCCGAGTGACTTTAAATTTATACACAGTGTTTGAGGTCATGCGGCGAAGAAGCATATTGATTTTCAACGATTTCCAATAATTACTGCCAAAGTTATGGCACTTGATCACTTTGAAAAATCTTTTGACGCTCTAGAGGCTAAAGTTATCATACGATTGACTTCAGATTGATACACAGAGTTTAAGGTCTTGAGACGAACAAGTATATTTATTTTCAATGAATTTTTATGACTTGAACAGCTAAATCTATGATGTTAAAGTTTCGTATACTAAACGTTAGCATGGGGCAGAACTTTAAAAAAACCAAATTGTAATGGTTTTCTGATAATTACTTAATGAGTTGTTACTCTTAATCAGATTTTAATGTGTTATAAATGTTTCATTACCGAAAAAAGTAAAAATATGCGACAACTCTTGTTGACTGCTTGGGCGTATGTTTCGTTGCCTGGCAACCTATCTTTCCTTATTTGGTGACCTTCGACTACTTTTTTGAATTATCAGATATCCTCTCACAGCCTCACATAACAACTTTTGGCCTTCGAAGGAATTATTAGTGAGCAGATTAACCAATTTATTTCACATACATGTATGTGATAATGACTGACACCAATATTGTCCTTTAAGTTATGCTGGTTAAAAAAATGCTGACAATTATTAAGTTAGATTTATTTTGTTGTATTAATGGAAAGGTATGGAAAGGAAACAAGTTTAAAAAAACAGTTGTCTAGGTGAAGGGGTTTATTTTCCAAGATGGCTTAAGTTGGTGATATCTGTCTGAATAGATCTGTTAAAAGTTACTGGCTTCAGTCAGGACATGCACATTTCATCAACTTTTGGGAAAATTGGTGGTATGAGCGCTAGATGAAAAGTTCTAAACCTGAAAAGGATAGATCAATTGGGTTGAAACAAACTTGTGCCACCAACAAGTACAATCATTGAATGACTCATAGACATAGACACTTTTTGGGACCCAATGACTCTCCCTCTAATTGAGCTAGAATGTTCAAACTTGGTGTAGGTGTTTATTAGGTCAATGCCTTGATGGAGTTCGAAGATTAGCATTTTCTGCTTAGCGTAAGCAGAAATAAGCAATTTGATTGGTTGATGCTATGGGACACAATAACTTGGTGTATAGTTTCATTACATCAATACCTTGACTAAGTTCGATAATGGACATTTTCTACTCAAGGTAAGCAGAGCGATAAGCAGTTTGATTGGTCAAGACTTTGAAACACAATAACTCTCCTTCTAATTGAGGTAGAATGTTCAAACTTAGTGTAGCCTCTCATTAAGTGAATGCCTTGATGGAGTTCGATGATGAACATTGTCTACTTACGGTAAGCAGAGATAAGCAATTTTATTGGTTGATGTTTTTGGGTCCGATAACTTTGGTTATAATAAGTGAGAGCTATGAAACTCTGAGTATAGATTCATTATATCATTACCTTGACTAAGTTTGATGAGAATTTTCTGCTTCAGCTAAGGAGCGATAAGCAATTTGATTGGTCAAGACTTTGGACCATAACAACTCTGCTTTTAAAGTAGCTAAGTCTCTAACTCAGTATCATCAGAAATCTTTGACATTAAAAACAAAAATTATTTGTCAATTCAAATCAACATTGGTCTTGTGATCTTACAGGGAAAAGATGGGCTCCTGATATCCAATATTCAAGACAAAATAAACATTTTACCATTGGTACACGAATCGTGTACCATAATGCGTTTCAGCGCCATTTGGAACAAGGGACTCAAAGAACAGGGCTAGACATATTCGACAAGTCATGTCAAATGGTGACGCTATATTCTTATCTGGAGAGCATGCACAATAAATACCATCAGTGTAAACTGGAAAAACCAGACGCTAAAGATTGCCATTCACATGAGACTTCTGGCATATTTTGCCGAGCATAACTGATTAGAAATTACAGTAAAAATAGAAACGATTGAATGTAAATCTGTTTATCATTCATATTACATTTTTATATGCGTTGCGACCCATTTTTGTCAATTTCTAGGTCCCAAATATTAGCGATTTAGCTCCTTTAATTGAGGTAGAATGTTGTTTAAACTTGATGTTAATGTTCATTAGGTCAATGTCTTGACGGAGTTCAATAATTAACATTTCCCGCTAAAGCTAAGCAGAGCTAAGCAATATCTTTGACTTTAATTCTATCTGATAGAGAGTTGTGAAACTTAGTCTATAGTTGATAATCAGTTTGATTTTGAAAAAGATAAATGTGCAATTGATTAATATGTGTCATCTATTTATTTCGGGATTTCGGGGTGGACATCAGCCTCACTGTTGGCTTATAAGTAGTATTAATAGTAACTAAGATGCAGTGTTTCATTGTATTTCAAACTGGAGATTAATGAGTAACTTACTTATTTAACAAAAATCTGTAGTGAACCTTTTTCAGTATATTTTTTACTGGAGATTAATGAGTAGAGTTGATGACAGTGTAGATGTCATATTAATGAATTTATGACTTGTTAGATAAGAAATATTTATACCTGCACCATCTGTTCTTATATATAGGATGTAGAAAAACAAGTGTATTTACTGCCATTACTCCTCCTACTCTTGCTAGAGGTGTTAAATGTAAGCTTGACTGTTGACATATCTATCGTCTTCATTCTGCTATACATGTCTCACAGTTGCTTATTTCAGTTCCAAAATAAAGTTAAAATTTACTTTCATATATTTGCAATTTAACAATCTTTATATAAATTGTATTTTTGTTGTTTACTCTTTCTAGAACATCTGATACCACTTCATATTTGTTAGGAAAGACATTGTAAATTGGGATGGAGTTGGAAAATGCATGCATACTCCTGCACGGAGAATGCATGCATACTCCTGCGCCTCCCCTTAAAATATACTCCTGTGCAGCCCAGTTTAAACCCAATTGTTACATGTTCAACAAGCCTACTATTATTTCAGGAATTTCACCAAAATACATACATGTATTTTAAATGACTTTGAGACAGAACACAAATTTTATGGGAAACAATCACTGGTTTTATTATATAAGCATCAATGTTTCGACAAGTATCCTCTTATTGTTATCAAGCACATGGCCGCCTGATCTTATTAAATTTTAGGGGGGGAACGGAGGTGGCGGGCGGAGCGAACCGTTCTGCAGGGGGTCTGGGGGTCCCCCCCCCCCCCAGAAAATTTTGAAAGCAGGATGCCTGAAAACGCTATCTGAGACCATTTCTGAGCATTCTGCTGAGATGAACATACCGAGAATAAATTGTCGTTTTTGAGCGAGAATAATCAATACGAATACGGTAAAAAGTAGTTATGAGGGCTTAGAGTGCAGGCGGACTGATTATATTACAAAAGCTAAAAATATTTATTATTAAACTTTAAAAATATAAACAGTAAACCACAGATGATATGGACTGATTAATCAAAGAAGTCCTCGCAATATAGGGATATAGGTAGGCTACTAAATTGCCGGTCAAGGATGAAAATGTGATGAATAATTTCTCAAGTGGCCAGCTCTGAGCATAAGCTGCTGAGGTCATGAAGAGATCATTCTCAGATCTGGGTTACATCAAAGCCTGGGCATTTTTGAACCAAGGGGAAATATCCTCAGCCTGAAAATAGGACTCAAGTTTTGGGAGACGCTGACAGAGTACGGCGGGCGAAGGCATACGCCACGTGCGCTACAGGCGCGCATTTAGCAGGGATCTTGGTGCCTCTCCCGGAAGATTTTTTAAAATTAGGATGCCTCAAAATGCTATCTGAGACCATTTCTGGGCATTGTATATCGGCATGTTCGGAAATATAGGCTACATTTCCCGGGCTGAAAATAAGACTTTTGAAATTTTATCAATGCGTTTTTCTGGGGGGGACGAGGCATATGAAATCCCCCCCAGTGAAAATCCAGGGGGGGACATCCCCCCCGGGATCTGCGGCCTTGATCAAGCAAATTAAGATACATTAGATGTTGATATATCGATACTTATGTAATAAAACCAGTGATTGTTTCTCATACAAATTCAATTAAAATACATTTTATGGTCAGTTATTGTAACAATGAGTTGACATTGGATGTTTTTGTATCTTTAGACACTCAGGACTAATACGAAAATCAGCATATTCAAAAAATGTTTTGATTTTATTTTTCAGCTGGTGTGTGGGCCAAAGATTTGCCTTCTTCTAAACATGTCATGGGCAATTTCTCTCAACAAGATCAACATTTCCAAGGTAAGATTTTGTATGAACTAACTAAATTCATTTGGGTCACCTATTTGGGTTTAATTGTTTAAACAATTTTCACAGCATATTACTCTATCATCAGCCCAGTCAAAGTATTACTTTTGTCTAGATAGAATACACTTTTTGTGAGTCTGTGATCTTAAAATTTTGTTACAAGCAGTCAATTTGTTAAAAGTAGCCAATCAGAATATTCATAATATTTTACCAATATCATATTTGGTAAGACTATTAAAATGGTCTGAATATTTGCCTATTCATCCGGAAAATTGCAACATACAAATTTTATTCTTCTTTTTTTTCTTCACAGATGCTAGTCGTACTGATAGTTTAACTACATCAACTCATATTTTCTACATTGCTGTTGGATGTGCTTGTGCTCTTATATTGCTTATTGCTTTAGCTGTAGCAGTTTATTACCTCAATTCACAGAAGAGTGCAGATCGTTATTCTAAGCGAATGAATTACTAGTAAGTTCATCATATAATAAACTGTTTTAATTTAAACATGGATAAATTGACATTAGATATCAAACTCTCTATTTTTTGCCCATTAAGTAAACATTTTTATTTTGTAGAAATAAATGTTATCTCAAGAGATGGTTTGACTTTAATGAGATTTGAATCTCTTTTTTAATCAAATTATGTTTTATTGATTGAGATGAAATTTTGCGTAGATTTTAATATCTTTTAGTAGGCTAACGCTAAGTTTGATTATATTTTTCTTCAGTGACAGTAGTAGTTCTCAAGCATTAACAGCCCAGAGTCAGACATTTTTACGACCAGATACACCAAACAATGCCACTGGAGCAGGTAACTTTCAATACAACTTTCTTTCATGCTGAACTACTTTTATTCAACATGTGTTTGTTCATCATAATAATAGTTTATATTGAAATTATTCTGCGATTGCACTAGATGGAAGTTGAGAAAGTTAAATCAATGATTTCCTATTATTTTCCATTCCCATGCCTGATACCTAAAGTATAGTGTTATCTCTGAAAACTGATAATTACTGTTTTCACCTTTTACAAATTCTAGACTTTGAATGATGCAGTTTTATGTGCTGTCTGACACAAATCATTTACAAGAGAATTTGAAGACTATAACAGTATAACAAAAGTTGATACTACTTATTTAGACATCAAATGGTTTTGTGCTAATGATGTTATTATCACATGGTTACATTTAAATTATTCACTTGTTATAAAATATTTGTAAAGTTCTGTCTGGCAGAATTTCTTTAAACTATTAAAAATCAATTGATCAATCTGTATTTCTGATTGTATTTACATTTGTACTATGATACTATACAAGTGTTTGAACGTATCGTTCTATTTGAATAGTCGAGGGTGTCAGATAATTTGTCTTCTAAACAAACCTGTCTCTTTCTCTATGTGACATTGTTTACTATTCATGTGTTTATATTTGTGTTTTCACTGTAAATAAACAAAACATGTGGGTTACTGAGAAAGTTTGGAAACGTAAACAATCAGAACTAATAGATGTTATATTGTTTAGAGGCCAGTCATCGTCACCAGACAGGTGTCACAGTTCTAAACCTCATTTGTCGCTTCCTAGTCAATTTCAAAATATAATTAATTATTTTGTTTTTGAATTTAGTACATATAGCACTTAATTTAGTCCAGCCTTGAAATCATTTTTGTACTGTTAAAAAAAATGTTAGAACATTATGCTGGATGATGTAGCTATTAGACACATTACATTACGGATCATGATGGATGTATAGGAAATTTATATTAAAAAACTTTTTAACAGTAGTAATATGAAATACCTAACTTTTTATACATAGTTTATCATTCTGCTACAGAACAACTGAATTATAAACAACTTTATGTATTTGATTATAGGTTCACCTAACTCATAACTGAATTATATCCAACTTGAATTGATTTCAGGTTTGACTAACTAACAGCCAATATAACCAACTTTATAAATTAATTTCAGGTTTGCCTAACTTTAGACGTGGTATATCTGCTATTGCTGAATTAAAACCAACTGATGTTAAAGCTATATTAAATGAGATAGCTATAGAAAGAAAAAGATTATCATTAGGAGAAATTCTTTTAGAAGGTAAGAACATAATCTGACATCATAATCTATTCATCTTTTGTAGTAAGTGATAGCATGTCTCGAGGGAAAATACACTAAAAAAATTAAGATTCTTTTTATGGAGTAGCTATCAATGTTGTAGACCACATTATGTTCAGTCATTGCAAACATGGCTGAATATTGTTCAGATATCAACCCATTGCTATCTGTTTTTTAGAGAAGTTTGCAAATTTTTAGTTGACATTTGCCCAATGGACATAATAGTGCTGAACCATTATGTACTGAATGATTTAAAAATAGAGTATATAATTTTGTATTGTAGGTACATTTGGTAAAATATATCATGGTGTATTAGTTGGTGAAGATGGTAATGAAATATCCACAGAACAAGAAGTTTTCATTAAAGCCATTTCAGGTAAAGATTACATTTTAATGAGATTAATGACCAAGATTAAAAGTTGGATAGAGTTTAAGATTGTACACAAACAAAAGTACTTTTATTTTTAAAAAAAAACCCAATAAAATTCTGGTCCCGAAATTTTTCAAATTAATCCATTCAAACCAAGTTATGGCCATTTAAAATAAAGCTTGCACTAATTTCTTTATTCGGGTAAAAAGATTTATTCAGATTGATCAATTCTGACTTAAGTTTTTGTTGATTTCACAATACCTTCTTTATGTACCTTTGTTAAATATTGAGCAATTTTATTTGTTTCGTACAAGCCAGCCCTTCATTTATGGAGGTTTTGTTAGAATCAGATGTGTGTAATTATAATAATTACAGTCTTTACTTTAAAATAGTATATGTTTTTTTACTTTTGAGATATATATATGAATGATCTGGCTTATATATCTTAAAATGTTGTTGGCATTAACATTAAACATTATTAAAGTTATTATTTTCACACTTATATTTTTGAACGCTATTTAACTGGCATAACATATCTTTATATAATTTTTGCCATGGCAGTTTTCGATTGTTTGTGTTACGAAATATCAAGAATGTGCGATGGTATTTGGATTTTCATACAAATTCTAAAAATCGTAAATTTCACATATCTTCAGGAATAAATAGTTAGAATTTAATGCTCTTACAAATGCTAATTAAATCTTGCTTAACATTTAAATCAATGAAAGCATTTGAAATATATTTTTTCCAGATCAAGCAAAAACTGATCAAGTTCAATTGTTTATGACTGAAAGTAGCCAATTAAAGGGCTTGGTACATCCAAATATCAATCCTGTGATTGGGTCGTGTTTAGAGGACGAGAGCCAACCAATGTGTATTTATCAGTATTCTAATGAGGGCAACTTAAAAAAATTCTTACAGAAGTGTCGAATGTCGGAGTGTGGTTCACATTATGTAAGTAGTCAAACACAATCGATCCTAACCAGAAGTCAAATTAAAGAGTTCAGTCGACAGACTCAGCAAGTGGACGAACCTATTAATAAAAAATAAAAAACAAAAATTTATAATCGAAAGTAGTACAATATTTTACCCTGCCTCAAGCCAGTCCCTTTGTGTTAAAGAGACATTATCACTTTCAAAGTAACCCTAAACTTACCTAATTTTCAAAAACCCAAGCTATAATATGTAATAGGCCTACTCATAAATGACATCTAATCTATACTCCTGGGTTAGCTGCAAAATCAAATCAATCAAGTGTTAAATGGCTATTTAAATGAAAACATAGAATACTATTTCCTGCTAGAAGGTATTAGGAGATTTTGAATAATTCAGATTTAAGATATCTTCATTTATATCCTACAGTGGACTCTTGTCACTTCTGACATCTGAATAATACTACAGCATCTTGTGAAATCCGTCATCATTTTCATGTCCCGATTTATTTCATTATTACTTCTACTTCAACCCAAAAAGTTTTGAGTAGTCCGGATTCTGAATATTCCGAATTACGACATCAATCAGCAGTCCCGTCACATGATTTGTGATCAGTTAACATTGAATAATCCGGCCTTCAATCTGTGGGCGTTAATCGACAAGCAATCACCAATCAATTATCTGTGAGCCTAAAACAGGTACCAGTCTTTGTTGATTACCTTGATAATTTTATCTTGTAAGAGAGCGCTTGGTTTTTGATTTAAGTTTCTCACATCAAATACAGCAAAATTATATATAAATTGCTGAGATGAAGAATCACTATCATTATAATATTGATTGTCCTGCAAAGCGTGCCCGTACAGATTTGACATTGGATGTCATTCAAACAGCATATTATAGCATATTTTGAGAAAGTTTCATGACCTACACAGAAGGAATTAGCCGTTAAGTATTTAATTGGCCATACCACAGTATCCAGCATTTTAAAGCGAAAAGATGAATTCAAACAGACGTTTGCCGATAACTTCGACAGCAGTAAGAAATGATTTTACTTGAACGCTAAGTTTGAAGACATCAACAAGTGGTTTAAAGTGGCTCTCACACTCTGCCGTGTAGGCCTACCGTGTGCCACCGTGCGCGAAAATGTCTGCGGACGGTGGAGAATGGCGAGGGCACACGGTGGTTCGTTATCAAAGCGGGCAACACGTTAATAGGGCGTTGGCGCTTATTTACACCCGGTGGTAAACCGTTACAGAACGGTGATGAACGAGCAAAAAAAAATCCACCGTCTGCAACGGGTTGTAAGCGGGTTGTGAACGTGTCATGATCGTATTGATACCGTGCCACCGTCTTCATAACGTATTCATACCGTCCTCATTACAGTGTTCATACCGGACTGCCAACGGCTGTTTCCAAAGCGGTACCGCCTGATTCTGACGTCGCCGCCTCCCTAACGCATGGGTAACATCCTGTTAACGCCTTGACGTTCCCATAACGTCCTATAACGGGTCCATAACATGTCCTTACCTTCACAGTAGCATCATATGAACGTGCCATTACCAACAAATTTACTTTTGTCACCGTGTGCCACCGTTTGTCACTAATTATTGGGTATATTGCCTGTAGATGTTTGTGCTGCAGCAGGAATTTGTAAATTTTCTTGTTCTTGTTCTTGATCCTGATCCTGAGCCTGAGCCTCAGCAGCAGTAGGCTGTTCTTCCTCAGAACTAGAGGAGGTCTGAGCCTGAGCCTCAGCAGCAGTAGGCTGTTCTTCCTCAGAACTAGAGGAGGTAGGAACTTCTTCATCAACAGACACATCAGAGACAATAGAAGGAGGTTTCCTCTTGGCCCTCTTCTGTGGTGGTGCTGATACATCCGCTGCTTTGCTTCCACGGCGTCTGCCTGACCCCCCCCCCCCTAGGCTTACCCTTCTTGAGTGGCATAATGCAGTAAATATGTGATCAAAAGATGAGGAGAAGTGTCGTGGAGTTTCCTTGAAGAAAAATGGAGAGCGGACTGACCGTTGCCATTCAAATCGGGGTATTTATGGTAGTCGGGGACTCGCTCACAGGACGCTCCGAGCGGTGAGGGGACGTTAAGTGACTTGTAGGTGGCTGCTACAAACCCGGTGCACACGTTCGAGACCCGGTATGGGCCCGGTATGGAAACGGCCGAAATTTTCAACAAAAGTCAATCTGGGCGGTGAAGACGGTAGAAGCATGTTCAACACCCGGTATGCGCCCGGTGAGAACGGTCAGAATATGGCAACGAAACGGTGAAAAGATTAATTTTTTTTGCGGCCGGGGACAAGTTCGCTCAAAACCCAACGTTCTGCCAACGTTCTGGACTCTGGTTTTTTTTAATAGCCCGGCAGGTGGACGGTAGGCCTACACGGCAGAGTGTGAGAGCGCCATAAGGGCGTGGACAAAAACAACCTTTCAGTCAATTGGTCGGCCAATAGTTTAGGCTATTTATTCGTCTTGGTGTATCTTCTGACGACAAAGATGGCGATATACCGCTTGCAAAACTAATCGAATCCTTGGTACTTTCTTCAAATACAACAGAAGGAGATTTTATCAATTTCGACAATGGTTTCTGACATTATCATATTTTAAGTTCTGAGTATTCAAGGGTGCATTATAATAATACTTCCGGTATATGAAGGTACAATGATACTTACGGTATATGAAGGTATAATGATACTTCCAGTATTGAGGCAATTGAGTATTCCGACATGCTGTGTAATCCAACATATTGTATCGATCCTGTACGATGTCTAAATTGACAGTTCACTGTATATCAAGAAACAATGTTATTAATTTATATATTTTATTTGTAGTCTTTGTCAACCCAGCAATTAGTTTATATGGAGATACAGATTATTAGAGGTATACAGTATCTACACCGTAAAAAGATCATACATAAAGATATTGCTACCAGAAACTGTGTGTAAGTATTCAATATTATTATTATTATCAGATAATTATAATAATTAATTATCTATTATCTTAAAAATATTCTGGATCACATACCGCGAAGGGATTTACATTATGACACTAGTATTTCAAGGATAATCATACCATAAATATGTTGAAACTCTACTGATTGATCTCTATTTCTTAGTGTAAGGTAATAATAAAGCAGAAATGAAGTTTACACAGCACACAGTTCTATAACTGAGGAAAGATTTGAGTGAGAATTTCTAGCCTTTACCAAATATGAAACTAAATGCCATCTTTTGCTTTAGTACAAATAATATCTCTGAAACACATTAGGCAAGAACATGATACTAGCAGTAGTTTCATTTTAGTTTTACAAGGTTCTTAAAACAATTGTTGAGTTGCCTAACGTGCATGTTTTTAAATTAAATTTCTTGTTCCAGCTTTCTTTTAACTTTCGTAATAAAAGTAGTCTTGATTATCCTGGCCTGTCAATGAGACGGAGAATGGTCGGTAGACTGGTTAAGTGGGACTAATTTCAAAACAAGGTCATGTAACCCGGATGTTATGGCCGACATGCGTAACCATTTTCCAGTCTATTATTTATGGATGGTTAAATGGTCATAGCTTACATTACTGTTTATTTAGTGATTATAAATGTGCGAAACTGATTTAAGGCTTGGTATATTTATAAATATTGTGGTGTAATTTTCAAGATATTTGGAGATATTTATTTATGGTGGAGCACCCTAACAATTTATAGACAATACTTATTTGTCAATCCTGACATTTTTCCTATGTATGATAATTATACATATCCTATTGTTACCTCGCCTTTATGTCTTGTTTGAATTCTTTATAAATATTAATTTTGATATGTATTTATATTTACAGTGTTGATAGTGATCTTGTGGTAAAAATAATGGACAATTCTTTATCCCGTGATTTATTTCCGGCTGATTATAATTGTCTAGGAGATAATGAAAATAGACCCATAAAATGGCTGTCTATAGAAGCATTACAAGAAAAACGCTTTTCACCAGCCAGTGATGTGGTATGTACAAATAATGTCGACTTTGGTACAGATCTAAAAACAAGGATTTTCAGAGTCCATGTTTAAAGCTTGATGCCCCATCGAATGGCCTTATGAAATTAAATAGAATATTCTTATCCAAACAATTTGGTTGACCTACACATGTAAACAAACAAGAAAATAAATTTTTTGTTGGCAATATTTATTGCTGAGTTTTAAAACAGTACAGTTCTGTTTAGGAATACTGTCCCGATTAGGAATACTGTCCCATCTCCCTGATGTCTCAAATTGTAAATGGTATAATATGTTTATTTATTACAGTGGGCATTTGGAGTTACTATGTGGGAATTAATGACAATGGGACAACAACCATATGCAGATGTAGATTCATTTGAAATGGCATCATATTTACAGGAAGGGTATAGAATAGCTCAACCAATCAACTGTCCAGATGAATTGTAAGTTTGCTATATTTATAACTTATCCAGTATCCAAGAAGTTAATGATCAGTGTTACATTACTGATTTAGTTGACTTGAAAATAGTCAAAAGAATAAGTATGTTAATCTCACCTATATGCCATTAAACAAACTGATTATTGAATTGTATGACAGACAGTAATGTTACGCTGTCTACTGCTTGCACTTTCCACAATCTTAACCTTTGCAAACATGGCCTGACTAACAAATCTTACAAATGCAACAATTGCCAAATCTTTAAGTTGCCAAGTCTGTAGAATTTGGTTGGAACTGGAATTTGGAATTCTAAAAAGTTTACACAGAAGTGTTACTGTGATCAGTACAATTTGCTTGCACACTCTGTTCCCAGGTGCATTATGACACATATCTTTGTAAATACTGAACCGAATTGAACCAATTTTTTTACTTATATTGATTTAAAGATTCAAATTTCTCTCTTATGAGCAGCTTTATGATATGAATATTATATTAGTTTCAAAATGACTTTAATAAGAGTGTTGATGAGTCTCATTAAACCTCATTTGATTTCATTCCATTTTACCAGATGAATCGCTAAATATTCATTATTTATTTTCAGATTTGCTGTCATGGCGTGTTGTTGGGCAATGTCACCAGATGAACGTCCCAAATTCTCTCAGTTATTAGGTTGTTTACAGGACTTCTACACGGCACTTGGTCGTTATATTTAATAAGTTGACAATCTTTTTAATTATTATCGGTTTTAGTGCTAGAAACAATGTAACTATTTAAAGATAATTGACAGTATTGTGTATAAAGTGTACAGTGATCTCTTGTAGATAAAATCTTCTTATTAGTCTCCATGAACATACTCCAGATACCCTAATTCATTGATGAATCACAATTTACAAGTTTACAAACAACGAGATGTGCCATAGAAATCTGGAAAGTTTTAATCCTCGGACAATGTGTTCAGTATTGTTTTTCACCTCTGAAAAATGTTTTTACCAAGAAAAGTATACAGTACCTCACAGAATCAAATGTAGTTAAAGAATATAATCAGTAACTATGACAACAAATATTTTATTCAGCAGAATTGAAGATCAGAGCCAGAAAGCAAATGGATAAACAATATTTTTAAAAAAATGAAAATTTACTTATGTAGAAACTATTACAAGACGCATTAAAGAAAAACTGGTGTGCAATATATAAATAACATTAAGTTTTATAAACTTTAGAATAGTGTTGTGGTTCTGTAAATATGAGACAGACAAACTAATATAGTTAGGCCTGGAAGCTTTAAAACTGTAGAATAAACTTGTGTCTATTTCCACTCTGTTTTGATGGTCACATAAAGTGGTCATTATTCAAATATTTGAATCAAGTGAACTGCTCATTCTTCCGATTTTGGTACATTTCTGTTTTCTGATCTTACAAATCTTATCTATTTTTCTTTTTTGGGGTATATTTTTAAATATAGTTAATTTCATTTAATTAATACTATTAAATATTTCATAACAGAAACAAAATCTGATCAAGGTCCATTAATTGACATTGAATAACGAATACTATAAAAATGGTTTGAAGAGCCAATGAAACTATTTGAATCATAATATTCATATATTTGTATAAGAACTATATCGCCTTGCTAGTTACATTTCTTAAAGTTATATTAATTAATTAGTGTATTTTAGTGTTTATTTTAATTTACCTCAAATAATACTTTGTATGCTGCTTTCATGGTTTACACTGTATATAAACGCCAAAGAAAATTGTACATACAGCTTGAACATCAAAAACAATATTACCATGTGTATGGCCAAAATAGTCCCCATTTTATTATATCTAATTAGTGCATTGATACTGCATTTAAGATGTATACTGTATATATAAGTATTGAATATATAACATTATAAATATTTATTAATAACCTATGTTATTACAACATCTTTTACAAATGACCATAAAATGGTAAATAAATAAGTGTTGCCTCGTATATCTAATATCTACATGCATTGTACCTATTGCTATTTAGTATAGATTTATTATATAAGGTTACTGTAAAACACGAAACTGATGTCAACATACTGATGTATTTCTATTCTGTAAAATACTGTACCATTAACAAGATAGTTCCACAAGTAAATCAGCATTGTGGTCAATCAGAACACCCATCCAAACAACAAACTATTTTGTTTATAGGTTAATCAATGTCATAATTAATATAATAACAATGGTTTAATTAGCTTTATTTAAACTGGTTATTACTTTGTTCAACTTACGTTACAGTAGTTTCCCAGTTGTAATTTTAGAAAAGAAGATTTGGTGGGAAGGATTTATTGCAGTATGAGTATGCATTAATATCAACCCTTGCAGGTCACATTAGTTTCATGATACATTAGTTTCTTGTTTTACAATATTTATTTAATTAAGGCACTAGTCGTCATTTGCATTTTTCGGAAAATATATAATTTTGTTCATGGTTTAATCAAGCTAAAATGTACTCCGATTGATTATCTAACATTGAATTAAGAAAACAAATATCAATGGTAGATAATCTCTTTGTTTGGAATCCGTTTGAATTAAAAAAGGCCCATTGAATTATTTTAGCAAAGCTTGGTTTTACCATAATCCGATTTATATGGTCTAAAACAGATGCTGAATGATGACAAAATGTTCAATTCACATATCTATGTAAATACTGGATGAAATTGAGCCATATTTTGACTGATATTTCTTTCAGAAAATCAACTTTCACAATATTGTACTCTACAAGGGATTATAAATCTATGAATTGAGAATCAAAGACTTTAAGCTTGTCATATGTCGACCCTACAACTCTATCAAACTCAACGATTTTCCCTGCAAGTAAATCTGTTAATGTTTCTTATTGGCTAAAAATGATGGATTCAGTAATAAAGGGACTATGTTGTTAAAGAGTGAAGAAAATAGATGTTGAGCTTACACTATGTCATTTGCATACAATTGTTAAGACTTTAGAGGTTGTCTTGATATTTATTAATCGATTTAGTTGTTAGGTTGACATAAATGTATGGCCATTATGGGTCAATCTGTATTAAAGAATGCCCTGGAAGAATGACAGAATCTAAATATATGGATGAATAAAATCTGAGTGGTGCCTGATTTATTGATAATCTACTGTTGTAGATGGATGAATGAATTGATTTTAAAATCAAAGTTGATAGAATATTTGTTGAATATGGGATATATGAAGGAAAAATATAAAAGGATATATGAATGATCTTGAATGAAGAAATTTTATGTGTGTATATATCAATTATGCTTTTAGTAGTTGTTATACATATTTATGCAATTTAGAAGTTTTGTTGATGCAATTGAAATATTATGCATTAATTATTTTATGTGTGTGATGTGATTGTACAAGGCTTTAGTGTATAGATTATAGTATTTAGAATATGTAAGTTTTTTTTTTACATACAAGTATTGTATATTATACCAAATATATTACAGCGCCTATGAGATTTCATTCTGAATACCTCACAAGTTTCTCATAATGTGTCATTATACCATATCACTTGTCACTTTTAAATATGAATAGATAGTAATGTTACAGTATTATCTTGAGAAATACTCTATTTACAAGACTGCTTGCTGACTTACATTTACTAACCTAGTTTGTCAACATGAAATATAGTTAATTAATATTTAGGGATAAATATATCTGATCTATTAAAGATAATAGCATGCAACAAAACATTTCATACAAGTACCCTGAAGAAATGAATTTAAATTGCTTAAGTGAGTCACGGATGCTACAATTCCCTGTAATACACAGCAATTCCTATGATACAAGAAGATTGTTTTGGATCCAAGTGGAATTGTTTTTAAAAAATATGATAAGAATGCAGCTGATGACATCTGATCTTCTAAACCTACCCCAGTCTCAGACACTATTACTCCCTAGTATGCCTTATGATTCCTTATAATTTGATGTTGTTTTCTCATATCTTGAAAGGCAGCTCAGTTTTGAAAAAAAAAAGATTCAGTTACACTGGTAAATGGTTCCTCTTTTTTCTTTGAATGGTTTCATACAGTCATGAATGGTTACAAAGACTGGGTCACCAAGACATCTGATAGTAGCATAATGTTTCAAAAGGACTTCCTGTTGACCAAAGCTATGGTTGGCAAATGTAAACAACAAAAGAAAACAATAACAATTGATGCTAGTACATGTATATAGATGTTAATAATGAGACATGTGTTGCTTAGTCTGGATGTTATTGACAGTGTGTATTGGTTGTATAAATAGAATATATAATTGTAGATATTAAATGTCTTTTTATAATGTAACTTTAAATCGTGGCGTATTTATTTCATTTCATATAAAACCTAAAACTATGCACTGATAAAATTAATTGATTATGGAAGTTGTCCATGTAAAATTACTAGAAAAAAGTCTTTCAATGATTTTTTGGATAATAAAATGGTTAAAATTAATGGTATGTGAAATCTAATATTTTTTCTTCCATAAATAATTTGCTCTTCAATACTGTATTTCATAAAACAAACAATTTAAATATTACAATAAGATGTAAGCTTATTTCATTTTGTTATTCATTTGCTATAAAATGCCTGAGTTGACCCTAAAAATCTCTACATTTTATTTTCATTCTTTTTCCATGCATATAATTTTCATTTTGAAATTGTAACGCAAATGTCATGAAAAATTATCATTTAATTAACATTTTAGTCTTGTTTTTCAGTAATATGTTCTTGATTCTAGTCTTCTGGAAAATGAAATTAAAATACATGTAACATATTTATCAATGAAAATTCAGCAGAAAAGAACATGTTACCTTCCGCTTGTCATTGTTAATCAAAGTTTGTAAAGTATGGTATCATCCTTAATCGTGAAGACAAATATTGCAACAGATTCAGTATATTCAATATAGAATGGACCATTATTGTCACCCTGAATCTTGCTTTAGTAATGTAATCTAAATTTACAGACACCATGCTTCATCTAGAGCGATGCTTTGAAGATAAATTTTCCAAAGCAAACATAATACCGATGTATAAGATGTAAAAGGGATTTTAAATATCATATTTATATTGGTTTACTCGTACATAACTATTGCTTAACTAATTATGCTTGTTATTTATATTTGTACATTTTTATTTATAATGTAATTAAACTCTGTACAGTCATTATAAAATACAAGTAAACAATAACATTAAATGTCTAATTATACTTTGATTATTTTGTTGTTTATTAAAACAATCTGAGATGGTGATCTTCGCTATACAATAGTCTATGGTCTCCATGCCAAGTGATAATCCACTTTTTATGGAATGATAGTCTCCATCGCTCTGTATAATATGGTGATCCTTTCCATACGAAATGCCTATCTGATTGCCTCCATGGAATATAGCGGTCTGCTTCCTTAAGCCTGGTGCACACTACATGACGACATAGGCGATTTTGGTCACATGTCACATGAGTCATGTGACATAACCACACACAAGGTTTCCCGGAATTTGTTTCTGTTGCATGAATAAGTGGCTCGGGTAATCTTATTTAGGCTTAACTAATTGAAACCCTCCTGGGCTTATTGGTTGTCTCGTCTTGGCTGTTTATTTGGTAATGAGAGGATTAGTTATATTTAGGATTCTTTGGAATATTTCTGGACTCATCCTCATGTAGCCTGTTTTCTATACACACAAGAGTCACCCAATTTCAGCTCGTTACTTAGAATGCTATAAACGAACTGCTCTCGACCGGCATTGTACTAATACGGCTAGGCTGCCGCCTGATAGCATCTACAAAACAATATTAATTGAAGTATTCAACGACACGATGATGACTAAAATGCATTTAGGGGTCTCAGAGTTGTCGCATAGTGTGCACCAGGCTTTATGAATGGGTGATCTCATCAAGGTAGCCTACTCTCCATGTGAAATCAAAATATGATTCTATCCATGGCAAGTCAAAATCCTCTCCATGCAAAATATCAATCATCTTGCAAAATGGTGATCTAATCATATCCTTGGTGAAAAACGTTAATTTCCTTTTGGAAAAATGTGGTTCCTCCAAATTTAAATGATGATCAACTCGATGTGAAAAAAATCTGACACTGATTCTCACAATGAGAAGTGATCCTAATCAGACTGGATTTGAAATGTGTCTTCATTCTCACTGAATTTTTTATGTCGATTGCCTCCATATGACCTGTTCATTTTCATACTCCACCCCACGTACAAAATGGTATTAATGGTATGTCAATGGTGAAATGGATGCTGGATTTCCTTCCCCAAAAAAAGTGAACCAGTCAAGTTAAAAATCAATGATTGGTTTACCCTACACCATGAAAAGCAATGGTGATAAAGATTGCATCAATAATGTTCATTACCGTAAGGAATTTATTTATTGGTCTGAAATTCAAAGGATTGTTCAGTACAGCAAAAAGGTCCCTACTGTCTTGAATGCTGCAGTATTTAATAATATTATAGTACTGTATACATTTTGTTTTATACGCCCACATTGAAATGTGGTTGTATATTGTCGTCATCCCCGTCTGTCGTCTAAAGTTAATATCCAATTGACTTTAAATTTATACACAGTGTTTAAGGTCATGAGACAAAGAAGCCTATTGATTTTCAACGATTTCCGATAATTACTGCCAGAGTAATGGCCCTTGATCACTTTGAAAAATCTTTATATCCGATTGACTTTACATTTATACACAGTGTTTAAAGTCATCAGATGAAGAATCCTATTGATTTTCAACAATTTCCAATAATTACTGCCAGAGTTATTGCCCTTGATCACTTTGAAAAAATCTTGTGGATGCTTTAGGGACCATAGTTATCATCTAATTGATTTCATATTTATACAGGGTGTTTTTATTCCTATTATATAATGGTTTCAATTGACTCTTAGATTGATACAAAGAGTTTAAGGTCTTGAAAAAAACAAGTATATTGATTTTCAATGATTTTTGATAACTTGAACAGCTAAATCCATGATATTAAATGTTTTGTATACTCTACTCTAAACCTTAGCATGGGACAAACACATTCTAATCATTTTCTGATAATTACTTATACATACATTATGCAAGAGCTAAATCTGCCTACTGCAGGTCTTTCTTTAGGCCTGAAATGTTTTCTAAATTATTCATTAGACAATAATTAACTTATCTAGGCCATAATCAACTCTTGATGGCATCGAATTTCTCTGATATTAAATAGATTAGAACAGTTCAGCCATATTTTGATTTAAGCTAAAAATGGAGGAGTGAGACTTAGCTTCAAACAACCAAATTATTCATTTTACATTATCTGTTTTCGAACTATTAGGCTATAGCAAGAATGGCTAGCTCTTTATCTAAATCGGGGGGGGGGGGGGCTGAATGGATAGCACGTGCATGCTGTATCATAAAGTCTGTCATTGAGTCAAATGGTGTGGTTTTGAATCCCTGGTTGTATGTGACAAGGAGTAGGAGAGAGCGGGGCACAGTAAGCCATGGGGCACAGTAAGCCAGGCTTTGTAATTTTTAACTGTTTTGGGAAAATTCAATTGTGACATCACTGGGGAATTCCCCTATACGGCCCCCATTTGTCCTCCTAAATTCAATAAATTCACGTAAGCTGATTAATATTTATCGGCCATTAACTGTTTTTCTGACGAAAAAGTTAATTTTTGGCGGACTGGTTAAACTGCTTGGCTACTCCAGATTTTGTAAGAGTCCACAAACTTGAAATCATAGGTGAAGGAGATAGTATTTGACTCTCATTAGAAATATTTTGTTTCATAATACTATCACATGTCTTCCTGCCATTTTCGATTTTCTGAAATGGTTGATGACGGGGCACAGTGGGGCACATTTCAGAGGGGCACACTGAGCATAAGCATTTCGAGTTTAGCTAAATCTCATCTGTCCATTTTAGACAGAATCTGGATATTTGAGTTGTTTTTAAGGAAATATTGGTCCTAGGTTACGAATCCTTACTGACTTACAAGTCATAGGAGTTTTTCACATAAAAGATTTTTTTTTCTCCAGTTAAAGAATTTTTTATTCAATGTTAAGCTGATTTTTTTAAATTTTCAGCAGCATATCTGTGTTCAAGTCTTAAAACAAATTCATATTTTGAACTAAAAGTTTACTTTTTACAGTTCTTATGAGTTTCGGTGTGTTTACTATACATTTTTTTAAAAGAAACATACTTGATGGCCAACTGTGTCCCATAGTGTGACCCAGTGTACCCCACATACGGGGCACATTGGGTCAAAAATATTTTTGGTTTTACAATGATCTACACAAAAATGTTTTCAATTTATTAACTTCTTAACAGCACTGTTAAATCGAACACATGACTGGCTTCAACTGAGTGCATAGTTTGATTCTCTGTAGGATTTCACTTCTGGTCAATTCACTAAAAAAAGAAATCATGCCCACTGTGCCCCGCTCTCCCCTAGGGTTGCCTGTCCAACTTCGTGGGTTTTCTCCGGGTCCTCCGGTTCCCTCCCACTGCTAAAGACCCCTACGTGCAAGCGAATTCTAGAAATAAAATTGAACCATATGTTAGTCCCGAAATGACCTGGTTTGTGTCGAGTGGACGTTAAACCCCATTTCTCTCTCTCTCTAGCTCTTATCTAAATCTTAGGCTACATAATGCATCTTTAATGAGTTGTTACTCTTAATCAGATTTTAGCTATTATAAATATTTCATTGCCGACATAAGTAAAAATATGCGAAAAATCTTGCTGACAGCCCGGACGATTTAGCCGATGTGGGCGTATGTTTCGTTGCCTGGCAACCTATCTTTGTTTTCTTTATTATAGGTCCGTACGGAGATTAATCATTTGTTCATTGGAAAATTAAAGTAATTAATGGGATGTAACTCTGTTTTTAAAGAAAGAAATTAAATGTAGTTGCTTCCCCTAGGCCAGATTTCTTACCGCTGGGTTGTTTTTCTCCTGTATCAAAACATTTTATCAACTTATTTTTGTAGAATTTGGTGTAATTTTAAACTTTAACATCCAAATAATCGTGCTATTACTGTTTGAGTGAAATTTGGCAGGTTTTAAATGTTGCCAATTTCTGACACGCCCCCTTTTTACGAAACAATGACAACCCCTTTCAAAGTGTAAACAAAACATGGCGGACGAAAGTATGGAGGTGGATGTTAGGTTGGTTAATCTGTTAATTTGATTAGTAGTTTATTTCATACATTCTTTTATTTAGGATTTATATAAAGCTTATAACTTTAAAGTTTCTATTCCACATATTTTCAACTACGGTTTATTCTACGAATAAAAGTTATCTGGATATACATTTATCGTTTATCACAGAAGATCTGACATAATATCATTCATCATCATGATGACGAAAGTCAAATGGTACTGGTAGATCTAGTTGAATCTTGACAATTCCTAGACAGGATCCGGTCAGAAGCCGTTCCTAAAGTACAGTTCCTCTCAAATTTTTGGGACCGAAATGGCGGCAACGCGGCAAAAAAAAAACCACGCCGAATTCTCTTAGATTCCGCGGTGAAATTTCGCTTGATTCCGCGGCGATTTTTCTCTAAGATTCGCTTGGAATCCACCGTGTTTCGCTAGGAATTCACCGTGTTGCTCTAGGAATTCACTGTGTTTTGCTAAGCATACATCATGTTTCGCTAAGCACACATCGTGTTTTGCCATGCTTCCCGCCAGGAATTCGCGAGCCTACCTTAACCCTCTCGTTACGTAAGCGCCCGAAACCGCCCGTAACGTCCTGTACGGGATCGCCCGATGTCGCCCGAAATGACGGTCGGTAAAACTCGGTAATTTTCCACTCGGAACAAAACTCTCACGTGACTAACGACAGCTGGAGTGTACTGTAAACATAGCAGTATTCAAAATGGCGGCCTCCGTGAAATTTTTTATATTGAAGAGTTTTGTGTAAAAATGAAGGTTTTTCGTTGAATTTTTGAATGGCGTCATCGGATTCAGACGGCGATTTTAATGGATTCGATTCTTATGACGTTGAATGTGCCGAATTGAAGCAAAAAGAGGTAATAAATGACCGTGAATTGGATGATAATTTTGACGATGAAAGTGACATTGAAATTGAACAAGGACTGGAATACGATTCGTCTGGAGAGTCTAGCAGCGAAAATGATGACTTTGAGGACATATTAAATAGGGACGATCTCGAATGGAGTCAGATTACTCGCAAGGTAATTATCAAACGTTTTTCGGCAAAACAAGGACCGACTAATTTTCCAAATGTAGGTCAGATTGACATAGTTGATGGCGCCGGATACATGTATACAACAGATTTACCTAGTATAAATAACATAAATCCAATCCATTGAAGTCGCCGCCCGAATTTGATGATAGCACCCAGAAACTCAACAAAAAATTGTTTATTTTTGTATATTGAGCTTTTTCAATGGAATACATGTTAACACCATTAAGCCTTAAAAACTACAGCTTTGTACATTAATATTAAGTTAAATAAGTCAAGGTAAGCAAAATATGTCGACAACCTAACGGTTTCCTCCGTCGCAACAATCACAGTACGGTTGACGACTTTGTTACTCTTTTACTAAAATGGTTGCCATTTTTTTATTTACCATCAGATTTTCAAAAATATTGTACCATTGTGAAGGAAATTAAATTCTCCTTAAAATGAAATTAACTTGTCAGATTAATTTTGAACTTTGTAGCATTAAGTTTTTCTCCAAAGGTTATCTTGAAAAAAATTTCAAATTTTTTTTCAGATACATCTTATGATACATAAGTAGTGATGAGAGATGCATATTTCTAGTTGACTCCATTGGAAAGAGAATTCAATTTCCTTTCAGAAAATCATAACTTGTCTTCTTTGAAAGTTGATAGGTTTTGAGCTATAATCACATGAACATTTCGCATATTTTTTCGACGTTTTTTCTGAATATTGTCAGGATTTGGCGTCATACATTATAAAACTCACTAGTAATGAAAGGGTTAAGCTAGGGTCGAACTAATATTGTCTATAATAAATTGAAGGAGTTGTAATATAGTAATGCTGCTGTGAAAACGTGTACATGCATAATGTACAGGCCGGTTTGAAAAACAACAAAATGAGTTAGGTATTCCCTGGAAAATGTTTACCGGCATGCTGTATCGGTTAGAATATTTCTCTAACGCACTATGAACAACTTACAATTTTTTAAATGTATCATTTCATCTTCGTCTATAGCTTAGATGTAAGCCATCAATTATTGTCTGCTATCAAATCCAAACTTTAAATTATATACGATGATCTTTTTCACATTACTTCATTACTCGCAGCTTCAGTTAATCTAAATCAACCATCTATAAAGCACAGTGCCATAAATCACTCCGCAGTGCGCTTAACGGTAAGTCACGTGGTCAGAAACGTGCCAAAAGATTGGAACTATATTCTTACGCTGTGTTACTCGGCGAAAAGTATTTAGCAAACCTTGACTGTCACCAGTATATGATAATAGTGTATTATGACGCATTAGAACGATATGGGTGGGAGGGGGTACACTGTGAAGGTCACAAAAGTGACAGCGTCATGTATTGGTTTTTTTACAAATTATGTATACATATAAGTACATTTACATGCATTCAACCAAGGAATATTCTTACAGGATTTTGCGAAGCCGTAGAAAAATTTTGAGTTGTAATACAATAACTTCGAAATGAAGACAAATATATAATTATCCACGGCAAGTATCTCACATTTATTGGTTTTAGACCATCTCTTACGGCATTACAGACCACAGAAATGTGATGTAAATCCTAATATTGAATAACTAAATAACTGGCGGATAACTAACTTCACTGCTAGCGACACTAACTAACGCTCCCTAGAATATCGTTGTGTATAATAAGCGTAACCATACTGTATATACACAACATTTTTGCAACACGTGGAATTATCAATATTGCTAGTGCTACACAATAGCACTGGAATACCTAATTTTCTTAATTTTTCGGTAAGCAAGTTAACTAATCTCAAGATTTATTTCTACAATTACCATAAGGCTCCCATATACAAAAATTATAATGCATTTTTCTCCCAACACGTAGGTTGTTGAGGATTTACGTAATTTCTATGCTGTTGTTTTTATTTAATATGATGGCTGGATTCAAAGAGCAGTACTTCATATCAATTGCTCTTTTTTCTGAGATCATAATAATCTCGTTTACATCGTATGTGATTGTAATAGCCTTAAACGGCTTTGTTCTAGAAAATTCTTATGAGTTGTGGACAATATGTGGGTGTTCAATAGTGTTGGACTAAGAATGGACCTCTTCACGCCATTGATAAGATTCTAACATATCAATTAACTTTTATTGTTCTACTACCAGACACTCATCATTAATTATCAACACAACACTCAGTATAATCTGTTGACGACTATATACAACTCTATAACTCCAATCATGAGATTATGTGGTTTATATTCTTGCGCATTATTCTGTACTGGTCATATAATTTTATAGCTACATAGTGCAGGTCGATCGTAGCCATGTTTGAAAATTGAGTTTTGAAAAAAAAGCTATTTTTTTCCGGCGTGCAAAATGACCGATGGGTCAGATCTAGTTACAGTCATTTTCCATAGCCCTCGGTCCCGACTGTCATATACTGCCAACGTGGAACCCATGATTACATCTGGTTGATAGATTAGAAAGTAAACATGTAAAGCACTTTTGGGCTGTGAAATCGTCTGGTTTATTTCTTTCTTGTTTGACATTTACCATATATAACTTTGCATTTTTATAACTTGACAACCTTACTACCCAAGGCTTTTTTTCCTAGAAGTTTTGCTCACGAGCCACCCAACTGCACCAAGTGAGTATCGTGCTGGCAAGATCGATGTCAGACAAGTACCTCCGTTAAAATATTACATTTCTTTAACTGAGAACTTGTGGCATGTGACCGATTAACATCATACATGTACCAATGCACCTTTTTAACACATGCCCTTCTTCAGAGCCGTCAGAAAATGTTAAAGATGCACTATGTAAGATTTAGCTAAAGAGCTGGCTGTCCCTGCCATAATAGTTCAAAAATAGATAAATGAAAAATGAATATAAGCTTATTGAAAATTTCATTCTAATTACTTTATTCTGAGTGAAATTATGATTGTTGGATGATGCAGCATTATTGTAGCAACAGTACTGGACAAACAAGATTATATCTCGGTTATCCATTTTATCATTAGATTTTTTAATGTCATAGTGTTCTAATCAAGTTAAATCTCTGCCTTATGATTGTCTAGGTATTTTATTATGGGCTGGTCATGTTAATAAATGTCTAAATAATTATATATTTACATGTATTGGTTTTGTTATTTTTGTTATGGTTCTATATTATAAGTTATTGAAATGACAAATTTTGTTACTATAAATCATTTGAATTACAAACTGAGTTATTATAAGTTATTTAGATTACAGATCTTGCTATTATTAATCATTTAATTATTATAATTTTGTTTATATTTATAGACTTAGTTATTATAAATTGTTAATTGGATTAAAGACAACGGTAGAAGGTCTATTAGCTATACCTAGTATAAATGTATGGAACAAGTATGGTGGTTTAAATAGAGTGTTTGAAAAAGTAGAAGATATTTTATATCACAGAATGAAACCCTCGGAGGTATGTAGTAGATAGCCTTTAATCAAATCACAATTAACGGGTACTTTTACCTAGTTGAATTAAAGAATCTAATTTTGTTTGGCTTCATGTCCATTATGAATAGCATATTTATGAAGTTGTCTACCTATGTAACATTTTGCATAATTATGACATGCCTAAAACCTGAAGTCCATCCTTCACATCTCTTAAAAAGAATGGTTTGCAAACATTAAGACTAATTTCAACACTAAAGTTATTTATTTTCTCCATTTAGGATAGTAAAACTTCAAAGAGCAGCTATTGGAATTTTGTGCAAGAATTAAAATGGTTAAATCCGGTGTTAAGACCAATGATAGAATTTATAATTCGATCTTCAGACAGTCCGGATGATTGTGATAGGAGTTGTCATTGGTTACGTCACAGTCTACAAGATCATAGTCTAGCTACACAATTACAGATACTAGTAGAAAATAAACAACATTTATACAAATATTATTATGGTAAGTAGAATATTTATTAAAGTAGCACTGTGCTAGAAAAAGTCAGTTGCTCAGATGAAAATAACTGACACACTACAGGTAGATCATGACTAGTTCCCTTTTCCTCTGAAGTCTAAACCTGCACTCATTAAATCTGAAATAGTACTTCCTATAAAGTTCAATTAGTTTTATGTGGAAATAAATGACACCATCCTACCAGTACCCATTTTCAGATGAGTAGATTGGAATATAGTTATGAAGTGTCTCATTGAAGAATATACAAACTTGATGCCCCCTTCAAGTCTCAAACCTGCAGCGGTAGGCATAGGGAGAGTTGAAGATAGAAAATGATGAGCTGATGATTTGGCTAAATTTTCTAAATATCAGTTATTTCATAGACTGCAAGGCTGGGGTAATGGTAATGGAATGTAATCATTACATTTTTTAAGTAATGGCTATGTAATTATATATAATGAGTAATGGAAGATTTAAAAAATAATGAGTAATGGAAGATTTCAAAAGTAATGAGTAATGGAAATGTAATTAATTACATTCCAAAAATCATGTAATGGTCAATTACATTTCAATTACATTTCATGGCACATATAAATATTTCCATATGACAAGCCTCAAATTTTATAGCACCAAAGTAGTAAATTAAGTGTATCTTGACACAAATCCAATTCATGTTTATACGCCCACATTGAATTGTGGTCGTATTTTGTCGTCGCCCCTGTCTGTCCGTCCGTCCGGCGTCCACAATTGCTTGTGGACGCTCTAGCGGCTAAAGTTAATATCTGATTGACTTTAAATTTATACACAGTGTTTAAGGTCTTGAGACGAAGAATCCTATTGATTTTTACTGCCATAGTTATGGCCCTTGATCACTTGAAAAAATCTTGTGGATGCTCTAGAAGCCAAAGTTAATATTCGATTGACTTTAAATTTATACACAGTGTTTGAGGTCATGAGACGAAGAAACCTATTGATTTTCAACGATTTCCAATAATTACTGCCAGAGTTATGGCCCTTGATCACTTCAAAAAATCTTGTGGATGCTCTAGAGGCCAAAGGTAATATCCGATTGACATTAAATTTATACACAGTGTTTAAGGTCATAAGATGATGAAGCCTGTTGGTTTTCAGCGATTTCTGATAATTACTGCCAGAGTTATGGCCCTTGATCACTTGAAAAAATCTTGTGGATGCTCTAGAAGCCAAAGTTAATATTCGATTGACTTTAAATTTATACACAGTGTTTGAGGTCATGAGACGAAGAAACCTATTGATTTTCAACGATTTCCGATAATTATTGCCAGAGTTATGGTCCTTGATCACTTCGAAAAATATTGTGAACGCTCTAAAGGCCAAAGTTAATATGCGATTGACTTTAAATGTATACACAGTTTTTAAGGTCATGAGACGAAAAAACCTATATTCGATTGACTTTAAATTTATACACAGTGTTTAAGGTCATGAGACGAAGAAGCCTATTGATTTTCAGCGATTTCCAATATTTGCTGCCAGAGTTATGGCCCTTGATCACTTTGAAAAATCTTGTGGACGCTGTAGAGGCCAAAGTTAATATCTGATTGACTTTTAAGTTATACACAGTGTTTAAGGTCATGAGACGAAGAAGCCTATTGATTTTCAGCGATTTCCGATAATTACTGCCAGAGTTATGTCCCTTGATCACTTCAAAAAATCTTGTGGATGCTCTAGAGGATAATTACTGCCAGAGTTATGTCCCTTGATCACTTCAAAAAATCTTGTGGATTCTCTAGAGGCTAAAGTCATGAGACCAAGATTCCTATTGATTTTCAACGATTTCCGATAATTACTGCCAAAGTTATGGCCCTTGATCACTTTGCAAAATCTTGTGACACTCTAAAGGCTAAAGTTATCAACCGATTGACTTCAGATTGATACACAGAATTTAAGATCTCGAGACGAACAAGTATATTGATTTTCAATGAATTTTTATGACTTGAACAGTTAAATCCATGATAGTAAAAGCTTTGCATACAAAACGTTAGCATGGGGCAGAACTTTATAAAAACCAAACAAATTCTAATAGTTTTCTGTTAATTACTTCGTGAGTTGTTGCTCTTAATCAGATTTTAGTGTATTATAAATGTTTCATTACCGAAAAAAGTAAAAATATGCGACAACCCTTGTTGACTGCCCGGACGATTTAGTTGCCGTGGGTGTATGTTTCGTTGCCTGGCAACCTATCTTTATTCAGTTTTAACAAATTATAATAACAATAAGAAGGCATTAAACATTTTCTTTTATTACTTTATATGTACATGTAGGACCCTTTTTTGGACATGTAACCTAAAAAGTGGATTTCTGAAAGGATGTATATTTTAATTTGCGGGCAATCACTCAGTCAATCTATTAATCAGTCTTACTACACTTTAATCTTAATCTCAAGGTAACAAGTGACAAACCAACAATGGCCTTCAAGTAACTCAGCATTTTATAGTTACTTAATATAAAACAAACATGTGGGTAAGGTGCTAGCTCGCTAGCCTGGAGGTCGGGTGTTCGATTCCTGCATTGACCGAGATAGTTCATCCAGATTTTCCAGCGTGGTTCCCCCTTGTCAGTGATGTGGTGCTGTTTAGTCGATCAGATGTGACGAAAAATCTACCTCGTAGCACACTGTATGCCTGTCTTCATTAGCCCAGTTCGGAGCAGAACAGTAGGACGTTAAACCCCATTTCATTTCATTTTTTTAAAACAAACATAAAATTTGTTTTAGGGTCATGCTGAATAATTTACCAGTTATACAATATATTATAGACAAACTATTTGGATTGATTAAGAATCTTATGAAATTACTTAAAAGAAAATACAGCTAATTAAATATACTTTCAATTCATTTTTCAAGTTCTACAGTGAAAATATCAGTTTTTGTCACCACTACCTGTCACTTGAAAATTTGCCTTTATGCTATAATTTATAGAAATAACATTTCATACACAAATATCTATACTAAGCAGCAAAAGAAACGTCAGGTTGGTATGTTACACTGAATAGTCGCATTTCATAAAACTTGCTAAATGTTTTTATTGTATATTTGTGACCACATCTCCAACTTATCTGAGCAATAAGGCTTCTTCCCAAACACAGAATTGAACCCAGAAAATGTTCTCAAAAACGCAACCTGATTTCTGAGATGGTAATGTGTTCTCCATGATTTTCATGTAACTCATGCTGCACGTGCTGTTCACCCGGACCAGCCCTATAAAATGCACCCCCATACCTGGTTGAATCATTCAGACTACAACGTCAGCAGCATGCCACGACTCACGACAGCACAGAGGAACCAGGCGCTTGGAAGACTCGACGCTGGCCACACTGCCCAAGCCATTGCCAATCACTTCCAGGTCAATGTTCGGACTATCTACAGGCTTCACCAACACCACAGATGATTGCCCCCGAAGTGGTAGACCAAGAGTTACCACACGGAAGACCCATTAGTACCGATACAGTGCGCCAACGTCTCACCAAAGAGAACATCCATTGCCGTAGACCTTACCGTAGACCGATCCTCACCCCTCGCCATCAACGTGAACGTCTACAGTTTGCCCAACAACACCAGAATTGGGGACACAGGCAATGGAGAACTGTTCTGTTAACAGATAAGAGTCGGTATTGCGTATCAACTGCAGATGGCAGGACCAGAATATGTCGTCGACGTGGCCAGCGTTATTCTGACTAATGTGTCATAGAACGAGACTCATGGGAAGATCCAAGCATAATGGTTTGGGGTGGAATCAGCCTGAACAAGAGAGTGGGTCCTGTGGTGTTCCAAAATCTTGGTCCAGGGAGAGGAGGCGGCATCACAGCAGTGCGCTACATCATTCAAGATCTCAGACCCCACGCCATACCACATTTCGCACGTCATCGAAACAACGTTTTCCAGCATGACAAAGCCTGTGCCCACACTGCCAGAGTTACTCAGGACTTTCTACAGCAGAACAGTGTCAACATTATGCACTGGCCAGTCCTTAGTCTGGACTTAAACCCAATTGAACATCTTTGAGATGAAATTTAGAGGAGACTTAATAACGTCATACCGAGACCAAACACAGCCGATGGATTGCGACAGGCTTTTCTGAGAGTGTGGTTCCAGGTGCCAATGGCGTTCATCAATCGTCTGGTCCACTCCATGTACAGATGCTGCGCTGCTGTTATTGACACTCGCGGTGGACACACCAGATACTGATGTATAGACTGTGTGTGTGTACAGACTCTAAACCTTCTCGTAATGTCTTGGAATTGTGATGAATTAATCACTAATGTGTCAACATACTGTTCACAAAAAATGACTTTGATCCATTTAGTAAGCCGTTTTCTAGAATGATTTGATTAAAGTGCCTCTCTGATTTTGAAATCGTACTGACGGTTTTTTTTGCTGTTTAGTATATTATAATGAATCAAGGATTATTTTGAGATTGATTTTGTAGGCTCTTCATGGCAGAAAATAATGTTGTGAAAAATGGTTTTTATTCATATAGTCATAAAGTAATGGGTAATGGTAATTAATTACTTTCAATGTAATGGGTAATGGTAATTAATTACATTGCTAAAAATGAGAAAGTAATTGTAATGATTACATTTAAATGGTAATGGTAATGTAATTAATTACATTGGCAGTATAATGGCCCCAGTCCTAAACTGTCTTTTGGTTATGATAATTCTGGGGATTGATTACATTTGATAGGTTACGTCATTGTTACACATTGTCAATGTAATAAAAAACCGATATGTTTTTCTTCAGACCTCAATAGTTCCTCAGTTCAATAGTTATTGATCCCCAAAATTTGAAAAGCAAATAAGGTGAAAGTAGCATAGTTGTTGTGGGGCATTTATTAATCCATAAAGAAAAAATAACTATATTAATTATATAGAAGAGGGTTAGGTAAGTTAGGTTTTTCACTGAAGTGTTGTGATTTGTTTATAGCCTGTCATTACTCGTAGGGTTTTTCTGGTTTCCTTCTACTGCAAAA